ACCAGGCTTGCCTGGTATTATAACGGCACTGGCTTGCGTATCAGCTGTTTCTAGAAAGTCACAGCACAGGCCAAACGGCGTAAATACCTTTACGATTCTGAGTGAAGCTATAATAGTATGCGTGGCGCATCCCAAAACAGTAAAGTTCAACGCCAAATGCTTTATCCATTTTATTGCTGATCGCGATTCAATTAGGCGTATTGGATTCAGTACTTGGTGGAAGTGAGCTAAAGAGAGGTAGAGTGTAAAATCTCAGAAGGATCCGATTCTGTAAATAAGCTGTGTTTACTTTGTGCGTACATAGCGCTTTAGACGAAATTGCCGCGGCAGGTGGCATACTTAAATATCCTAAAACACATGAAAAATCTTGCTAGCCCTGAAATTATGATAGTGGCATGGTGGCAAGTAGCGGTAACGATTTGATGCCGGTGTAGCGTGGTCTCCTGTCAAATCCGGCTCGAGTTCTGCCCAAATTTCGGTTAAATTGCATTGAAATGGCATAAATTCTATGAAAGGGAGCCAATGCTTTGTGCAGCCGGGAGGTATCGTGAACGAGAGGCCTTGTGATTCATTTCTTGTGCTTTTGATTTATAATTTTGATATGAATGAGAATTTCCACTCGGTTATTTTCAAGTAGTTCAAATTCAGGTGCACGTTTCAACCGCTTTGGAACACCAAAAGAAGCAATGGACTTTTTTGCTTCCGGTGAATGCCGGAGTCCTCCTCCACAACCTGCGACACCGACTTTGATATCAGAACCAACAATTCCACATCCATCAGTTAGTCGCATCGACATGAACAAATTGAAGAGGGCTATTGAAAAGGAATCGGTGCAGGCAGTTTGGTGAGTAGTTTCAAATGTTTCAATAAGTAGGCTGTTGAGAAAAAAAAAGTATTCATATCATAGAGATTCTTTTCAGTGAGCTCGTTAGTTCGAATCCAAGATTCCTTGTCAATACCAATGGTGATACGGCAGCGATAGTGATGGTATGAATCCTTTTCCTGCACTTAATTTTGATTTCTTCTGTTGTTTTCATTTGAAAATCTTAAGGATACATTAGTCTTTAACGGATATATGAGATAGCCTTTTTTTGGCTTGCTGAATATCTGTAAAATTGAAGCTAATCTGGCTCTTTCTGGCCCTGGCAAGAATGCAATATCCCGCTTTGTCTATTGACAAATCTTTAACCCCGTTTCTCATTGGTGAATCTGTCAGCAAAAAGCGCTTTCTGCTCAAAAATCCGTGTTTGTAATCAGACCTCTAGTGTCTAGCGTTTCTTTAAGAATTTAGGTGTAACGGATCTGTAAAACTGCCTAAAATATCATTTCGTCAAGTTATATGGTTGAGAAGCGGAACGTAAAGCTCAAGAAAGTCTGAAGCGTCTAAATTGCACCTAATTATGTATTCCAAGCTAGTCCGTTGTAAGAAGCTTTTCAGGAAGGATTCCGATTCAACGCTCTACATATTGCCGCTCGCCATGGAAAGAGTGATGTGGTGGAAAAGATTCTTGAACTTGTCAGCGACATCGATTTCCTCGCTGACCTTTATGGTACATCTAAGGAAGACGCACAGTTCCGTGCTGACAATATCATGGCGTCTTATCTGAATACTCCTGATAAGGTCTTCATATTTTTGTTCTTCTCCTTCTGATTTGAAGCACTCACTCCTTTCCATTCTTTATAGTGATAGCTGCCGTTCCTTTAACTATTTGGAAATATTTTATGATTGAATTATTCACGTGTTCCAGGGAAACTGCGAAACACCGCTCCATCTTGCAGCCAAGTTTGGACATGTGGACGTTGTTAGGGCGCTTGTGAATGAGCCACTGATGGATAAGCACCTACTTAATAAGTGAGCTCTGAAGAGTACTTTCTTTCAGCACCGAAGTATAGGCATGCTTGAGCGGCTATTATTTTAGTGAGGGTAAAACAGCACTAGAAATAGCGTGCGGACGGTACTCTGGAGATGATAAAAAGAAGCGAAAGGACGAAATGGAATTATTACTTGGCGGCTACTTTGTCGGTGTCTACCGTTCGCTTGATAACAGTGTGCCTGCCAAAATTGTGGCATCGGAAACCTACCCAAAGTCAAGCCTTTCGCACAATGTGAGTTATTGTAACGGTACCGATGAACTCATATTATATTCTTTCCGTAGAAATATCAACTGATAAGGTCGATTAGGATAAGAGACAGTGTTTGGTGAAATCCTCTGTACAATCCTCAATAGCGGCCTACGCTCCTTCCGGAGATGCTTTTACCATCTCTCTCACATTTATGATACATTCATTCAATGCCTTCGCGTGGGATTTTCTACTTAGCGTTTTTCTGCTCTTCTATTTTTCTAGTGAGTACTTTGGGACTCTTCTCGTCCTCCTTTACACTCATTTTCATCCAGTTTTGCACTTCCCAGTGTTGGAAGGAAGGTTCCCCATCACTGGCAAATGCTACATTTCGAGAACAGTTCGAGGAATGGTCGCCTCTTCTTTCAGGGTAATGGATTGTGCTCCCCACTGCTGCCAGAGTTCAGACTAACTGGGTGTGCTGGTCCTTTTGGTTCTAAAGAGAAGGCCACGAAATTCCTGAATAGTTGGATTGGTGCAGAAAAACACGTAAAACTATCAGATGTGGATAAGGTAAAATTTTGCCTCAGTTTACGGACCATGCGGTTTCTTTGGAACCGGAAATCCTCACTTTTCATCATTTTTTAGATGGCTTGATTTTCAGGGATATGAACGCGTTGGCCGGGAATTGAGTACGAAATCCAACGTCAAATGGGCAGAATCATGGTGTTTCCTTGATCATTTTGTTGATCTAAGGTCAGATGAAGGTCTGAGAGTTCTGAACAGCTACCTTGGACGGGTAAAGCAAAAGGATACTCTGTCGCCGTCGGATGATCTGCGAAAGCGTCTGGTATTTGACGAAGAAGACGGTCAGTGATGTTTTATGGTCATGAAAATTTTTGAGCTCGTGTTCTCCAACGATGTTTTTTTTAAGTTTTGTGAAAAGTTTTTAAATATTTCCAAAACAACTCTAGAAAGATTGCAGACACGGTCAAGTGTGGCATCTTTTCGATTTCAGGTACATTGCTTCGAAGATTGATGGTTTCTCAAAAGTCTGCCGAAATTTCCGTACTTTTCAAAAATTTTTATCCGCTGCCTTCATAGAATAGGGTACCATTTCGCCGACACGACCCCTAAAATCACAAACGCGGCTTCCATCATCTGGCTCGGCATACATTGACTTACCCCACAATGCGAGCTTTGTTTAGTCCTCACAGAATGCTGGTTAAGAATGCTGTGAACGGGAAATAACATTGGTTTCGAGGCCCCTTGATGGAAATGAGTTGGACCGTTCGTCAGTGGCAACATTTCAAAAGTTAATAGTGGCGTACCGTTTATTTACATTTCCGAAAAAGAATTAGTGACAACTAACTCAGTTGTAGCGTGCCATGGAGTGCACTGTCGAAACAGGGGTTTGTTGGGTTAAGAGATTATGACAGAGCTGCGCATTGCACCTCAAACGCTCTGAGACGCAAACGGCGACCAGTTTTGTGTGTCTGACCGCTTGTGAAGGCGTTAAAAGACATTCCGAATCGTGAGCGGCTTTAGGTAACCACTTCGTTCTTTGGTTTGTTATCAGAACTACATCATGTTCCCACAATTAGTCTCAATGATCAGTGGTAAGGGTTTCAAAAAAATCGTTTTCACTTGCACTTTCTGATGATATGGATGCTCTACTATGACAAGTGTTGGGGCAGGGGGAGGGGGTGGCATTAATTCCTGTTTTAATAATTAACTTTTGACATTTTTTTGAGCATTTACATTGGCGAAATGCACAAGCCACACTAGCTAAAGAGTGTAATCCAAATGGTACTACTTTTCGTTACTACTCTAGCAAAAATCAGGTCGGGTTCCGTGCCTGGTCAACTTTCTCTTCTATGAACTAGTATTTTCGGCTATCCAAAATTTGGTCTTTCCGAAGATCTTGCATCTTCTCATCCGCGAATGCCCTTCCCAAAGATCTTGCACCTTCTCTCTAGTGAATCTTCTCTTCCGTGCTACTTCGAGAAGAGAATGCCGCAGTCATTTTTTATTTATTTATTTATTGCACGCTTAGGTGCGCTACATTAATTCACTTAACATCATTAAACTGGAACACTCTTTCTACCACGAAACATTGTTAAGTGAACGCAGCTAGGCAGCAAGGCGAGATAAAGGAAATTGCGGGCATGGTTCGTAGAAAAAAAAACTGGTAGTAAGAGACCCCTCCACATTCCAAATTTTATTTCTGTCAGTGTTTTTCACAATTATATAAACTTGGGTGTCCCCCAACAGGCCCACCGCGCGGCGAAGCAAGAGACGCAGACGCGGCAAAGGGACGAGTCGCAGCGCATACTGTAGCGGTTAGGCGTCAGGTTAAAGAGAGTGTACCATACTACGTCTCATATCGCACAGCACGCGCTGCAACTCGTCTCTTTGCCGCATCTGCGTCTCTTGCTTCGCCGCGCGGTGGGCCTGTTGGGACACCCATAAAACCTTGGGTGGGAGTCGACGCAAGTGGTATTTTCCAACGGCTTAATCGCCACTGTAGAAATAATCAACCTGTGGCCAATTTTTGGGAGTACTTCCCTGGCTTTGTCCCAATAATGAGTGAGTAGGGTACCTGTTACTGGCTGCTGTTTACAGAGGTTGTTTTTCTGCTTGGTTGCTGCTTGGTTGCAACAATCCATGATATGAGATACTCTCAATATCAAACGATTTCACCATGCTTTTTTACGTGGGACTGATGAATCTGAATTCTGCCCACAATCTTTGTTGAAAATCATTTAATGTATTTTACCAATCGCCAATCACAGCTGAGCAGCTGCAGCGCGTGTTCCCGAAAAATATTTTTCGGGATCTTGCTAAATTTTTTGAATTCTGCAAATTTAATGCGCAATATCAAATTTTTTCTTCTGAAAACGTGGACTTTTTCAGATCACCCGCATTTACTCACTCCTAACGATGAGGAATCTTTAGACGACGATGATGATGAGTTTGAGGATGCAGCAGAGTCAGTAGATGAAATCGATAACAGAGTTCTCAACGATTCGCTTGCTAGTCTGTCGGCACGCTTGAGTTCCTTAACACTACATTCACCAGGTGACGTAGTGGTAGAAGATAACCCAAGGTAATACCATTTTCGAGTAATACGAATTACTTGAGCGTTAAGGCAGTGTTTTGCTGTAAAAACAATAATAGAAATCTCATAGAATAGAACATAAGAAATTCAATCATAATATCTTGTTTTATGGGCATTTGTGTAACGGTAGCACAATTTCCGGCTGAGGAGAACGTTTACCCACATCTTAGCATTCTTATGATAACTTTCGCAATGCGAACTGCGGCGTAAAACAGCAGTTATCCAATAAAATCAAGTTTCGGAAGGTCCTTTCAGCCCCGCTGTGTAGCTCTAACCCCATGCTAATGAATCGACCACCTTACTTTGAGCTTTAGCGCTCTTTTTTTGGGAAGAATTCTTACGCTAAGTAACATGATCTTAAAAATCGAGATCCGATCCTTCTTGATCAGATCTCCAGAGAAAAGGGAGTAACCACCTTGCTCCTCATGCGTAGGCAATACCTGCGTAGATAGCAGAGGTCGTATGACAGAATGATCACACTTTAAAGATACGAAAGCATATAAAATCAAAATTGACCCAAAGTGATTCATTAATTAGGGTCAACTTAAATACTTCAAAGACATTGCAAATTAACACATCACAGCGGTTCGCAATTTTTTTCTTTTTTTTTCGACTAATTTTTAAAATGGTGAACACTGCTTTAATGCTTTAGTTTGTATTGCACTGACGAAGATGTTATTCTTGCATGGTTTATTTTAACGACTGTGGTTGTTTTTGCTTTGCTCATGGTAATGACTTTTTCAAGAGCAGAGTGGGTTGTGGAGAGTGGTGTGTAAGAGAGGCAAACTTCCTGTGCAGTCATGGTGTTAGCATAGCTCTTCCTATTCAAAAAGTCGGCTAAATTATAATTTCACTTACATGTACGGGGCTGAATTGGATCCCTAGCATTGCCCTAATAGTGGAAGCGATAAGCTTCGCTGTGACCCTAAAGTTGTTACTGGTTATCCCCAACCAGGGTGAATATCGGTCGAGGAAATCCTCGACAGGGGGGTCGTACCTGTTGGGCTGGTCCATGGGGGGTCGTACTCTTGGGGGTCAGTAACAGCAGTGGTATCGTGGTGCAGATAGGTAAGAGGGTATAGCGCAGCAGAAAATGAAAATATCTGAAAAAAACATGATATTAAATTTTCTTTGCAGGTTCAGTCGCTCCATTCCTCCACCTTCATGAGAAGGGCGTATTTGAAGGCAGTACAAAGAATGAAAGTGCATCCCCGCAAAGAAGACTGCCACATGTGCGCACGCGCTGCAAAGGCACCTCCTCTGCCTATCGCTCGCTCCTTCTCCCTTAATACCTCGCTGAGAATGAAGTTGTTTTTTTTGGGTTACAGGAATAGCACAACACACTATGTCTACTACAATACAGTTTCGTTCGAAGGTCCCCATCATATAACACCTTTCAATCGATTCTGCAACTGTGAGTGGAGGAGGGATGCATGGCTTATACCAATACGAAATCGGATGATGACGATTGCCCCTATTCTTATTGCTTGCGTTGAAAGATTTCGTTCTAGACACATTCCGAGTGTTGCCAACGAATCACACTTGCAATGGTGAAGGAGGGAGCGGTTTTTCCAGGTGGCCGGATCCGTCCTCGATAGATCCTCGACGCAATTATCTCTTCAACCAAAAAGCTGTAGAAGAAAACTAAACAGACCATCAGGAAGCGCAAACCTTCCGCTTTCCAAAACTATCTTCCCTTTTTCAGGATCTTACAATATAAGAGATATATTGCTCTTGAAGTGGCAAAAACTCGCGTGAAAATTTCAGCGTCCTCGACATTTACTCGACGAAATTTGAGAGACCCTATCTTTCTGCATGGAAGACTTTCAGAGCAATTTCAATACTTCTTGGAAACGCGAAATCCAGCTCTATCTAACCCTACCTCAAACTGCTTCAAAGGTTATGAAATGGAGGAATGCAACCTTTTCATCGAGGGTGTAGATTTCGACGTTTTTTTTTCGGGAATTTCAGCAAATCTGACCCAGTGACAATCGCGCCGCAGCTGCCGTTGAATCGGCCGTTGATTGATACACTCGGCTGTTTCGATATACTCAAGCAGGAATTAAGATTAAATCGCAACCCCGTGCCTTCAGGATTTCTGTGCATTTCTGAACGAACCTGACTTGAGGTCACACAAAGTTAATGCCTCTTTCCTCGAGTCGATATTTCAGTAAATACACAAAAGTGTGCAGCGATGAAAGACAGTGCATAGATGACAAGATGAGGCGTCCTTAACATTATTTTGCAGATTTTTTTTTTTTTTGCAGGATTTTTTGATTAATTATTGAATATAATTTGCTCTGGGGGAAGTGGTGCAGTGACAAGTGGCGCGCTCACCACGCGAGCGGTCCGGGATCAAATCCTGGGTCGTGAGTCGCCCGGGCCAACCAAGCCTTCCATCCCTCCGGGGTCGGTTAATTGGTACCAGACTTGTCTGGGAGGATAAAAACACTGACTTGAACATCGGCTGGCCCCCGCAAGTCATTGTATAGGCCACATCGCATTCAAACGCCACTACGAATGTACAAATGGAAGTAGAATGCGTGCCGCATCCCAAAAAGGGATTGATCAACGGCAAATGCTTTATCCTTTATCCTTTTTATCCTTTTAATTTGCTCTGTATAGGGGGTCGTACCAGGATCTCCATTTCGGGGGGGGGGGGGGGGTCGTACTTCTGCGACCACGTACTCGACACGATTTTCACCCTGCTTCACACTGTGGTATTTATCAGAGTACGCAAATATCGGAAGGGCGGAAGTGGACAAGTGGCGCGCTCACCACGCGAGCGGTCCGGGGATCAAATCCTGGGTCGTGAGTCGCCCGGGCCAACCAAGCCTTCCATCCCTCCGGGGTCGGTTAATTGGTACCAGACTTGTCTGGGAGGATAAAAACACTGACTTGTACATCGGCTGGCCCCGCAAGTCATTGTATAGGCCACATCGCATTCAAACGCCACTACGAATGTACAAATGGAAGTAGAATGCGTGCCGCATCCCAAAAAGGGATTGATCAACGGCAAATGCTTTATCCTTTATCCTTTAATAACCACTTTTGCTCAAAAGAACTTGTGTTTCCTGATGATATACGGGTTGAACGGTATAGGAAATTGTTGGCATTGGTCAGTTATTTTGGTAGTGGTGCAGTGGCAAGTGAAAGCTTACCACGCGCGCGGTCCCGGGCTGAATCCTGGGCGTGCATCATTCGGGCCAATCAAGCTTTCACCCATCTAGGTGCTATTGTAACCGAGATTTGTCTGAGAGGATAAAAAACAGCTGACTTGTAGCAAGGGAATTGAATCAATCGGCAAATGATTTATTCGTTTTAAATATATCTGTGACTGAGCGCCACGCGTTCAGTTTTTCTATTAGTTCGGCAAAGCATATCGTGTGTGTTTAGTTTGCTTGCTGATCTTTGGAGACTAAAAGCGAAGCCCCCTAAGTGCAGTAGCCTAAATATCAGAGCACAGGTACCGGTTGGATTTGGGATCTTGTGTCGTTGAAGTCACGACCCACCATTAAACTGTGCGCTCTTGCGCACGAACTCAAAAGCAGGGGCGCGAAGTGGGTCGGCAGCAAGAAAAAAAAAGGAGTCCGTCGAAACCACTAAAATGGATGCTTTCTTCATTTTTGTCAAATTTATGCTCGGCAAGGAAACATATGAGCACGGGAGTGAGGAAGAAAGGAATGAAGAGAGCGGCATAACAAAGAAAGGGCTATACAAAGTGTTTCGCCGGACGAGAAAATGGAGGCACTTGAAGCCGTCTGCATGGCTCTGATGCCGGTTGTCACACGCTCAATATATCGTGTCAGAGAAGGCAGGCCATCTGTGACTATTAGTGAAGCATGCAAGCTGGCAAAGGTCGAAGTGGGGTCAAGAGCAAAGGCTTTCAGTTCGGTTGGGGCCGAGATGAGTGGGGTCAAGAGCAAAGGCTTTCAGTTCGGTTTCACAATAGCCTGAACTCGGAAAAAATAAGGTGACGGTGTCAGGGCTGTCAATGATCAATCTTTCGGAAGCCTGCTGTGCTGGGTAAAGCGTCTTAATACATAAGGCAGCATAACGCGCATCAGATTTTTGCAAAGATTGCACTCGTTTTGTTTGGCTTTTTTGGCACATTTAGAACTGTGCGTCTGCATTATTGGACCCAGAAGGTGCTCTTATTAGCAGTAACGGAATGATTGAAGGGTATTGATGGTTTCGAAAAAATATTCATACAAGATGCCGAGACACAACGGGCTGTCGTCAATGTATTGAGTGGGTATCTGGTGGTATAATAAAACAATTCATAACTCCGGTAAAAGGCGAAAATAGAGAAACGTGAAGAATCTTCCCGATCTCTTTCTTCTTTCTTCGGTCTCTTTATTTGTATAGTATTTATTCAATGTTGATTAAGTGCTGACCTCATCTACCCGTGTGTAAGAGCGCGTCATTTGGGCGCATAAATAAATAAATAATAAAATAAATAAAATCTACGTTGCTATCCCGCTCCTCACTCCAAGGGGGTAACACTATTTTGGAAAGACATCAGAACGACGCAAGTGTGATTTCTGCTCAGCGGGCGCATTCGAATGAATGAGAGTGAGAAGAATGTGGGCGAAAATTTATCTGTCGGCTTTATCCCTCGTGACTTCGTATTGTAAGTAAGTTTAGTGCATGTTGAAATGAGAACCACTACCAATTCTACTATGTAATATTTTGTAGAGATGAAATGATCGATGTGGGCGAATTTTTCACACCTCCAGCTACACGCCACCTCCAGTTTATCTTATGGATAATCCAACCAAGGTGGATAATGATGTGATGAATGCGCTAGCCAGCGTTCCACAGGAGAAGGTCAGTGGTAGAACTTTTATATGGTGAAGCTCCAGTTCAGGGACCACCACTCCCTGTTATCTTATCCGTGCATAGTAACTAAGAGCATCCCTTTGGACTTGACCGGCATGAATCATCAGGTTATAGGTAAACGACTTGTTTCAAGTGCACTTTTGATAGGGACTGGTATATGCCCTACATCCCTACACACGTCCTGCTCACATCCTAGGCTTTTATGGCATGTGATCGCCCATCTTGGGCAAGCGTATCCATGCCCTAGATCAGCCATTTCTCGGCCACAGCAGCAAAATCGAAGCACTTGGAAAGTGAATATTTCTTCCACACTATAACCGGTGTATTCCAAGACAGAAGTATTGTTCAAATGTAATCGATGCGTGTCATGAGAAGCTCTTATTACTTCCTTTCCTTAGTATTGAAGAGCTTGAAACAACAATGAAGCTGCCGCCAATTACGCTCCCTGCCCGAACTGGAGTTTCAAACCCTTTATTTTCGCCGATAGCGTTAAGAGTACAAAAAGATAGGTGGTTCTTGCATTCAGGTGCCTTTGATTTCCTTAAAACCGGATGCTTTCTTCTCAATGTTTGTGTTTCCTCTCATTCTACGTTTTTATTAGTACTGTTTAATTTGAATGGATTGTATAATAGCGGCCCGGTGCCTTTTCTTAGTCGTGAATGAAATGTTTTGATGTTTTCATTCCTTCCGAGGAATTCGAAGTTTGAACTGCCTATTTCATGTCAGTTCCCCCTTTCAAAAAATTCATAGTTGAACTGGCAGAGCGTTGTTTTTTGAAGGACTATCGGAGGCTTCATGAAAACTGCTGAAGTGGAAATTAAGCTTTGGTCAGTTCTTGCATGGGAACTTGGTTTGAGAGGGTGAACCCACCATTGTTCCATTCCAGGAATCGGACGACCCCCTTCCCTTTGGAGGGAGTGGAGAGGTGGGTGGGGGGAGGGGAGGGGGAGAAAAAGAAGGTAGGGGTTTAAGTGTGTCTACTAATGAACGTCACTCCTTTAATTTTTCGACTTCACTTCCTCTTCTCAAAGGAGGAATTCACGATAAGAACGAAGGTCGAAGAAGGGGAAAATTGCCTAGTTGGGACAGGCGGACCTCCTGAGGGTGCTGACTGACGCGCAATTGGCAGCGAAAGATTTGACCTCGGCGATCTAGCATGGCTCACTCTTGGCGCGGTTGGCGGGTACGCCCACCGACTATCTAATCACTCGCCGCAGGTCTATACGTGGCGAGTGATTAGATAGCAGAGAGAGCGTAGTGTTGAAGAGGGCACAGCGATGAGAGTCGCATCAATGCTCAAATCAACGGGCAAGGAAGGGGTCCCATTTCTCGGGTTCTGGGCCGTTTCTCATGGTTCTTCCTTCTTTCGTGTACCACTCACCATCCTAAGTTAATTTGAAATGGGTTGCTTTTTCAGCGTGAATTCGTCCTTTAAATCCCCCCGGAACCCTCCCCAAACGACGCTCTTTCCCGCAACCGCGACCCTTTCAATTTCCAGAACGTTGCAGAGGTTTGCGCGGAGTCGTCATGACCCGCGCAATAGATTGGTTTCTAAGCAGTGGAACATGCACTAGCGTCAAACTAGCAGAATTTTTGCTAAGGTTTCATCTTCCAAATTTTCTCCCTTTCAGATAGACGCTTTTCCACATGTCCGACAATTCACGGAGAAATTACGCCGTGTTTCAAATAATGTACGCTCAGAATGGCCAGCTCTTGATTCACCCCGTCGTGCAAAGGGTACAAGCCGAATTTTTATCAACTAATGCCTTTTTTGTGCTGAACCACACCGTTCTCGTAATTTTCTCTCAAGTGAGGAATCAACTTGTAATTTTTTTAATCACGTTTTAATTTGAATTAATGATTTTGATAAGAACATTATGCACTATCTTCAACATTACTGGGTAGCCTGTGAGTTCTCCTTTATGACGCAGAATAGGAACTAGGTGCTTGAGTTTTAGGCAGTATATAACGTGATACTTGGAGCTATTTTACTTTTACTCCGTTTTACTTAATGCTGTACATATCAGTCCGTTTAGCAGTTTTACTAGAAATTTGAGTCAATTTAATGCGGTTAAATTTTTGACAATCGTGGTTGGATAGGTTTCACTTGATGAATTTGCTTTATTTGGGATGACATTTACTACGTGTTAAAAATTGCTTTTGAATAAATGTTCAACCTGTGACAGAAAGCTGGACTCACATTTAGCCCTTTCTCACGGCTACAGGATCAATCCCAATGAAATAGTGATATGAATAGCCCTTACTTCCATATCTGCCCCATTTGTAAGATAGAGTGGTTGGATGCAAGATATTGTCCGATAGAAGGAGTTCCGCTCAAGGAGTTAGTTTATAAAAGGCACGCTCCGGATTAGGCGACGCTCGCTTGGGCGGTATGTGCGACAGGCGGACAGGCGTGCGGTTCTATGACCGCCCCTGTAGCTGAGAGTGCGCGAATAAAGGGAGATGGAGTTCGCTCGACACCGGCACTCCGCACTTTCGCAAGCCCCACCCTCCGCTGTCGCTTGCCTGTGGCTCTGCTTGAAAAGCGGGGCGCGTTTGAGGCAGCGGTCCCAAAGCGACCCAATGTCATGGGCGCTGGAATTAGTGTTGGGGTCGTGAAACTCGTCCAACACGCCCCTCTTTATTCCAGTGGAATGCGGCTGAAATAGAGGGGGTCTGTGTGCGGGGCGTAATCGGTGGTTTCGCTTGCTTTTCTTCTCTTTCCCAGGCCACCTCCCACCTCTAGCTTCACAACTGAACACTTTTCCACACCTATTTTATCCTAAATCTTGCCTTTTAAACCAACCATCATGCGGAGTTTGGTCATGTCTTTTGCTTCAGTAATCTTCTGAAAACTGCGCAGTGTATCTCAGAGGAAGGGGAGAATACAAATGTCCGCAAGAAGCCTGTGAAATGGGGAATGGCACTTCTTCCTTGTGCTATTACCCCTCTGCTATGCTTTCTTCCCTCAACGCCCTCGGTTGTGATGGACAACGTTTGGAAAGGCGGCATACGATCAGCTACCCGGTTCCCAGAGGAAATTCAAACAAGCGAGAAGCTGTACAAAATTGCGGCGAACAGTGAAACCACGTTTGTGTGAGCTGAAAGCCGTGCTAGGACGTTTAAAGGAAGTGGTCACGGAAATTTCTATGGAGACGATAGAGAAGGTGACATAGTAGATTGGGTCGGGGTCCTACCGAATGGGCTGACAGGTGGCGCCTTATCAACGGTGTGAGCGTATTATTCAACGGCTGATAAAGGCCGCGCGAAACCCACGTTTGCTTCGGCGACTATCACATGGGAGGGGCGTGCACAGCAGCGTGCTAGATATATAGTTATCTTATTTTCATTTTCATTTGCTGCAGTGCACCTCATTCCAAGCAGCCGTATCTTTCTTATCTAATCGTATCGTATCTTCCATAGGGTAAGCTCGTCCAATACTATCTATCGCCGACCTTATCGGTTGATAACGCGGAGTTCGGCGATCCACGTGGAGCCAGCGTGACCGCTTCCTTTAAAAGTCGCTTTCACCAACAGATACCGTCCCCACTTGAGCCCCGTTCGGTTTGCTCAAGCAGACCCTATTGGGTCTTTCCAAAAATTGGACAGGGAGGATGTGAGAAAAGCCACTCCGGGGTCGTGCCCCTAGCGGCGTACTGTACACTATACACTTACCCGCAACGGCGACGGCTTAGCGAAGTTGCGGCAGTTACACTGGGTATCCACCAGGTACCGCAACCCTCACCCCCCCATTCCTGGAGTTACGGAAGAGCCGCAGTTGTCACTTGTTGTTTATGTCAAGGCAGCTGGTTCCGTATTCTAGCCTGGTTTTGTGAGGGAAAAGCGTTGCAGTATTGGAAGGTTATGTAAGCGATTCAAACCTGTTTCAACCTGCCCTCACTTGCTAGATTGCTTGAAAAACTTGAAAAAACAAGGTTAACTTTTGGGATCCTCAGCCATTTCACCGTTTTTTGCCTTTCTTCATCTGAAGGGCAAAATTTTGACCACCCGTTTTCTACGAAGATCAATTCTTCATCCACGTTTGTTTTTATTAAATTCAAAAGCTTGTAACCGTCTATAGAATTAATAAAAAGGTGTGGGAGTGAAGTCAGATCGAAAATGGTGGCATGGGTGCGACGCGCAATTGTTCCACAATGTCCCATGGAGCCAGCGCATCGCAGTGTTGAATGACGGTTGGATGAATTGTTCCAAGAATATTTGCAGACTCCGAAGAAGGCGAGTGCGCCGAAACGTAAGCCGAAATAAAGTTTTGTATCAATCTCGGAAGCTCGAAGAGAACCAACTAATACTATACTAATCATGCCGACGGCAGAGAGGTTCTTGTTGATAATATATTTGAAGGCCAAGAGTGCACAGCAGCTTTCTGTTTCGCAGGCGAAGGGCGGCCCGCACTTCCTAACAAGGCCTTATCAGTCTTTCGGAACGCTACTGGACCCTCACCGTCGGTTTTTAGCGTAGAGGCAGAGTAGTTCGGCGTTGGCCCTTAATGACGTCTTCGCCGATGTGGCTCGCCAAAAGGGGGGATTGAAGAGACAAAACAAAGGCCCCATTCAGAGGCACGTTTTTTTGGTTTTTTTTTCTGTTATATACTCTATTTCGGAAAACGAGAAGAGCGTCGAGTGCAGACCACACACCACAAGTGACGACGGCCAAGAAAAAGAAAAAAAACCACTTTCTTTTGGCCGTCGTCACTTGTGGTGTGTGGTCTGCACTCGACGCTCTTCTCGTCTTCCGAAATAGAGGGTAACTGTTAGTAGTTCTGCTTTCATACTCACGGGAGATCAATCCATCGCGTATCGATCGCCTTCAAATGTATCTGCCTCATATTTTGCCACCTTCACTTCAAGTATCATAACAAATGCAAATCCAAAAGGCATATATCACAACCGCGAGGGCCTCGTCCGAATCCCAAATAAAAATAGAGGAGCAAAGTCCGCTTCTCGTAGTTTTTGATGTTTCCTCCTGCTATCGTTTTCACTGCCGCACCAGCAACACCGTTGCAGCGCGCGTTTCTACTCTTTTTTGACCACGTGAGACAGGCAGAAGAAGTGCTAGAGAAGTCAAAATAAGCACAGCTTAATGTAACTCACGGGACCGCATCGTTTTTAGTTGTATCCGGGGGCGATGTGCGACCTCGAATGAAGTCCTGCTTACGGAAAAAGATCAAGTTCGGGGGTGTGGTGCCATAGGGTTCTAGCGGTCCGGTTCCGCCTGCAACGCATGGTGCACTTTTCTATCGTCACGATGTTAGGCACCCCAAGTACTCTTATTTTCTATTGTTCAAGTTATCGCGACCGCATTTCTCAGGTTTTGGGCCGTTGCTCATGGGTCTTTCTTCATCTAGCATCACTGAGCACCTTTGCCTTGATTCTAATGGGCTACCTTCTAATCATGAAAATGCTTCAACAGAAACCATAAGAAGCGTTCAGCGTTGATCAATTCTTTTCTAAGCACCACATATTCCACCCTCACTCAAAATCTTAATCTCATTTGAATGCAACTTGCTCTGCAGTGCTATACAATGAATTAGGAGCTATCTAATGTAAAATTCAGTGTTTTTTAATCCCAGGCGTTCTTGGTAGCAGCTGGCCGAAGTCGGGAAGCAGGAGACTTGGTTGATCTAATCTAAGTAAATTTAGATCCATAAAATGGAACCTCACTAAATT